ACCACTAATAAAGTAGCACAGGACAAACAAACAAGGTAAAGCACTGCAAGGAACAGCGTGGGAGGCTTTGAAAAGCACACACTAGAAGTTAGGAAAATGCAGCTCTTCTAGATGCTGCTCTCATTTCAGCTGGGACAGAATACTTTCAGTAGGAAGTCCTTCCTCAGAATAAAGGGCACTTGGAATAACGTTTTCTTCATATTTTTTTGATACACAATAGCACCATTTAAATAATAACACACAGCAACTTGGATGAACAAAAGACCAATTCAGTCAAGGCCTCTGTTGACAGATTAAAAGTAAAGGCAACAAATAATTGAGACTCAATGGTTATTTCCAGAGTCCTCACAGGTATCAGACTCTTGATTATAATATAACACACAGACAAGAGTAACTCACATGGACCTCAGGTCATCTTCTACACTACATCAAACCAGAAGGATATGCACTATGAGAAAAACTATACCTAACCTAGAACAGGCAGCTTTATAGATTGATTATCAATGGCATTAATACACACAGCTTCCAATACAAAGAAATGAAAAAGTCAAGGTAACTACTTATGTAAGTCTACTCCTAAATCGAATGCCATCATGCTTTACATGTAGAATAGATAGAGCACTTAGTTACATTTTACTTGAATTCTCCACATTAAGTTGAGTTTACAGTAACAGAAGTGGAAATGATCTGTGGAGTACAAACAAAAAGAGAAGGACGCTGAAGAGCATCTGAAGTGGCTGTGACACTGCGAGAACAGGCAGGAGTTAATTTTCATTCACATTTTGAGCTAAAAAGGCGTTCCATCTTTAAAACTGCCCAACTTCCCGATTTTCAAAGGTGACTGCCCCCTAAAAACAAAACAGAAACCAAGCAGGCCTCAGGAGCACGGTGTGGCTGTTCTGCATCACAGAAGCATCCCAGCCTATTCTGCTGTAGGAGTCTCAGATTCTGAGTCCTGTCATTAACAGGAGAAAGCTTTACTCAGGCATGATTAGGCAATTAATCAGTATTTCCTGAACACGGCAACTCTAGGAAAAAGTCACTGACTAGCATAATCTCTCAAGTATGGCAGTGAAAGAAGACAAACCGGAGGATCAGAAGAACCTAAAAACAGAAGACTGAAAATACCTGTTAGTGAAAAGAAACTTAAGAAAATGAGCCAATAAAGCTGGGTATGCTGGTGCACACCTGTGATCCCAGCATGTTCAAGGCTGAGGCCAAATAGGGACAGAGTGAGATCTTGACCAAAAAAGTAAATAATCCCAAATATAAAATGCCCTCAATTTTTTCAGTCTCCAATATATGTATATCTGGTCAAATTTAATTTCTAACCTTGACAGACTGAATCACTTAAAATCACAATGGCAAGAAAAAAAAAGATAAACTCAGAGATGTCTAGTTTTCTAAAATTTCATTTTTATTTATTTTACTTTATTATTTATTTTATTATTAGTGTGCATGTGTGCATGCATGCAAGTGTGCATACATGTGTGCACACAGAGATCAAAGGACAACCTTCAGGAGTTGCTCACTCCTTCCACTCTGGATTCTAGGGACTGAACTTAGGCCATTGCTGGCTAGAGATGTCTGTTTTTGTAAGCTGTGTCAAAGAAGCTTGTCAGAAAATTTTTTCTATAGAGAAGTCACTGTTTGGCATAAGAGATTAGCTACCTAATTCCATTTGGAATTTTATTTGGCTCAATGTTCTCAATCCTGGCTGTAAAGTTAAAAACAGCTTGAACAACTTTAAAAAAAAAAAAAGGAGTATCTGGGGCCAGGCTTGGTGGTACACATATTTAATCCCATCACTTGGGAGGCAGAAGCATGCAGATCTCTGAGTTCAAGGCTAGCCTGTTCTACATAGTGAGCTCCAGGCCAGTCAGGGATACATAGTGAGACTTTGTCTCCAAAAAGATCCTGCTCCACAGACGTTTTATTTAATTGCTCTTCTTGCTATGTATAAATAGTATTGCTAGTATTTTTAAGTGGAACTGAGGTGGAGTTAAGTATTAATCTAGAATGAGAATCCTAAAAAGGTAAGGAGCTGGCAGGCAAAACTCATTAGCAGCACACCACTGACCTCCATGGAGTGAGGTTTAGTTAATACCCAACACTAATGCTGGGCCTTGGGGCATATGCCTGCAATCCCAGCACTGGGGATGCTGAGGCAGGAGGATCATCAATTTGAGGCTACCTTAGGCTACATATGAAGAACCTGTCAAAAACAAACAAGCAAAAACAGTAACAAAAAAAATTCTGCCTCAAAAGGAAGATGGAAGGCAAGGACCAACACCCAACATCCTCTAACACACACACACACACACACACACACACACACACACACACACACACACACACACACACTCAGAGAGAGAGAGAGAGAGAGGGAGAGGGAGAGGGAGAGGGAGAGGGAGAGGGAGAGGGTGAGGGAGAGGGAGAGGGAGAGGGAGAGAGAGAGGGAGAGGGAGAGAGAGAGAGAGAGAGAGAGAGAGAGAGAGAGAGAGAGAGAGAGAGAGAGAGAGAAATACAACCAATCAAAGCAAGGACAAAAACCCCAAATACCAACTACTAGGTTTTACCACAGTCTAATTAAATCAGGATCACTCTGGTACAAGATCTTTATACACATTATTGTGTATGTGATATATTGTGAAATGCTACTATAAGGCAAGGTTTCATTTAAGAAATGGCACTATTTATACAGGTTATAAGAAAATTGGAATTATTTTCCTCTTTAGATAACTTGAACAGGAATTTTCAAAGTGTCACAGTCCACTGATGCCTCAGAAACTCACTTTCCATGCAGCTAAATTTGAGCTTCTCTTGTGATATTCTTGTAAAAGAGATTTCTGTTTTCTGAGTGAATATATTAAACTACATCCAGATCCAAAGTAAAAGTAAGGGCTGTGAGCACTCACATGATGGCTCACAACTGTCTGTAACTCCAGTCCCAGAGGATAGGATGTCCTCTTTTGGACTCTAAGGCACCAAGCATGCGTGTGGTACACAGATATAAAATACAAAGCACCCGTGCACATTTAATTAATTAATTAAGAAAAGTGCCATGGACTTTTTTGTTTGTTTGTTTTAAGACAAGGGTCTTAGGATATAGCCCTAGCTGGCCTGAAATTTCCTATGAAGACCAGGCTGGCCTCAAATTCACAGAGATCCACCTGCTTCTACCTCCCAAGTGCTGGGATTAAAGGCCTTTATACTCACTAATTAGGCTATGCTGGCTGGCCAACAAGTCCCTGGGATCCATCTGTCTATGTCTCTGAGTACTGGGTTTACAAATGTGTGTGCCACCATTACCTGTTTTTTTATGTGGGTGCTGGCAACCAAACTCAGGTTCTTACCCTTTAAGACTTAGCCATCTCCCTAGCTCCTCCTGCAGCCTTTTATCTTTAGCAGTACTTACAGTGAGTTTTATCTTTATGTATTACGTTATCTGTTCCCCATTAGATTGTGGGCCTGGAAACATCAAAATCAGGGCCTCTTTTCCACCTCCGTTTGTCCTTAGATTGAATGAGTCCACCATGAAGTAACCCTCCAGGGAAAGCGGCAAGGAAGTTAAAGCATAAACCTAAGGATATAGTATTCAATCTAGAGTTGATACATTAGTACAACAAGAGCTATTTTCATTTCTTGGGCAGCTCCATGATACTGAAATTATTTGTCTAAAAAGGCTATACCCCGATGCGGAATGATGACACAATACTATTCTTCTTCTACAATCAGTCAAGTCCAAATGCTATATTCATAAGAAAGAGGACAGGGTGTTTACTAGTGACAACCAATCTCTTGCATGGTCTGTGACTAGACTCTGGATGCAGTGCACAACTCACAGAGGTCTATTACCTTAGTGGACTCTCTGGCAACCAAAACTTAAACACACCTATACTGACATGGAAAAGCTGAAGATATCACAATCTTCATAAAGCTTACGAGACAACGGTATTACATACAGAAGAGAACAAGCAGTTTTGTTTCTATCATCTCTGAAAGCGTTTTTCCTACCTATGGTGTGTGCCTTCCAATGCTGCTGGGAAATACATCAACTTGTCAGACATCTTGATAGTCATCAGAGTATCAGACACCCGTGCTGTAAGTCCCCCAAGGTTAAGCGCCTGATTTGAGGGAGCTGTGTGACCTATCATTTCCCCAGCCTTTCCCCCAGGCACTGACTGTTGCCCTTTGATAATTTCTCCATCTTGTACGACAGCAAAAATTGGTGGCCCATGTCCACAGACGTTCTGGACTTTGGAGCCTTTTATTATTAGAATCCTGGAAGCTAATTAAATTGGAAGTATGACAAAGGCAGAAATGAGGAGGAAGGGGAAAAGTCAAGCAGTTCTTTCCAATTGTAATAAAGGTACATTTTAGACAGAAATGCTCAAATAACTGCCTCAAAACATCCCAGAGTTGGAAAAGGCAAAACCAATAAATGTTTAAAAGAGAGAAAATATTTTTAAAAAAATTTTTAGAGTATGTGCATGCTGAAGCAGGGTCTCATGTAACTTAGGCTTGCCTCAAACTCACTTTGTAGCCAAGGTTGACCTTGAACTCCTGATCTTCCTGCTTCTCCTCCCAAGTGATGGGATTATAGATATGTACCACCACACCCAACAAGGCAGAGGTTTATAGGCCTAAAAAATGGTGACCATTGTGAAGCCACTTTAATGATACTCAGGACCAAAGGAAAATGCATAAGAAGTTAAGAAGCAGGAAAAATAATGAACTCTGGTAAGGGTATTAATAATTAAGATAGCCAAATAACATTTTGGCTAAATACCAGAAGTTCTATTTATGAGCAGGTCAACATGATAAATCTATACATGTGCAGACATATTCCATCCCAATAATGAACAGAATGGTAATGAACTCTGTAAAGATAGATAATTCTGTCCTTTACAAAGGACATTTCTGCTCATCAAAGAAAGCTGAATAAAGTTCTCTAGTTCATGAAGAACTAAAAATAACCAAAAGAAGGAGATGCTTACCAGGCTATCCAGTCCTCCTCCCAAAAGATCCACAGCTCCCATCTGCATGGAGGACACTTGCGGCACATTCACTGGGGGACCCAGGTCAAGATTTAAGAGATCCCCCAGAAGGTCCCCTTGAGAGGGGATAACCTGAGGCTGCTCCAGGTTGGTTGCAGTGGTGGTGCCCACAGGACTATCACCTGCATCAGTGCTGTAATCAAACACAGAGGAGAAGTGAGAAAAACCACCTTCACCCATGACACAACCAAGCCGCAAGCAGATGTCACAGATATAATCACAAAATGCTGAAAATGCAATTAAGAAATGAAACAGGGCTGAGATGGCTCAGTAGATAAATGTTCCTGCCATCAAGTTCAATTCACAGAATCCACAGAGTGGAAGGAGAGAACTGACTCCCACAGGTTGTCCTCCATGAGGCATGTACACACACACACACACACACACACACCCACACACACACACACCCCAAAACAAATATATGTTACAAACAAAACTTCAGTAGCCTCTGACAAGATCTGAACACGGAAGAGTAAGGAGAATGACAGTAAACAAACATTAAGGAAAAGATGAGTGACATTGCCAATAGGAGAGTCTGGAAGGATGATAAAAAAGAAACAAGACACTCAGGTATCGTCGCTTTTGTTCTGGTGTTCTTAGTACATGCTAAAAACACATTCTACCACCAAGCTACAACCACAACTTCAAGATGCTTAATTCTGTTATGTATTAAGAAAAATAGCTACAGATGCCCAGCAGTCAATTAAAGACAAGTGACTGGCAGCCAGAGCTAGACAATAAACTTAGAAAGAAATTTATACACACATCTCAGGTAAATGATCAGGGGAAGGTGTGTTGTTAAGAGCAGGGGATCTAGATTCATCTAAGATCAAGCGTAGGTTTTACACAGTGTTAACTGTAAGTGACAACTCTATGACAAAGTTTCTTCATCAAGAGAATGCAAACAATACCACCCAAGCCAGGCTATCAAAGTAAGGACCCAATGAGAGCATGGTGTAAGTGGTCGACTCTTGTAGTCTATCAGCAGTGACTATGGCCCCTAAGTTCCCGAAAGGAGTATGAAGAGAAGCACAGGAAGAAAAGGTTCAGACAGACCTTTGAATTAACCAAGACCAGTAATCAAAGAAGAGAAGGAACAGGTGTTATGGCTTGAATCTGAAATGTCCCCCACAGGCTCTTGGTTTGAACATGCAGTCCCTAGCTTGTCACACTATTCTGAAGGCTGTGGGGCATTTAGGGAATAGGGCCTGGCTGGCAGATGTAGATCACTAGAGGCAGGCTTTGAAAGGTACTCCCGGCTGGCTTCCTGTTCACTTCTGTGAGAACAAGCTGCTGTCTCACACTCCTACGGCCATGAATAGGGGTGTTCCTGTCCCCGTGCCTTCTCTGAGGAGGAAACTGACTTGGAGGAGGAGGAGGCAGCAAGGTATCATAATCCTAAATGGTCTCCCCTGCAACACTTAACTATGAATCATTCCACACAGCCCCCTGAAAAATGTAAAAAGAAACCGAGGGGACCTGAGGGATTTGCTGCTATACTTCGGGCTCAATAGGGTGAATCACTAGGATGTTTCCCCCTAATTATGGGAAATGAAGCATGGGAGAAACATCCCACCTGGGAGCCTTCAGGTAGTGCTTTATTTCATGTCATGAGTGTATCACTAACTTTTGTTGCAGAAGAGTTAGGGATGGACCTTACAGACATGCCATTTGCAGCAATTCATTACATATATATGTACCGTCTTTTTGTTTTTTGGATAGGTTGGGGTGCTAGGAATTGAATTTAGAGGCTTGGAGGTGTTAGGCAAGCACTCTACCACTGAAGTATATTCCCCAGCTATCATCCTCACTTATACCAAAAGGTATTTTTCTTGTATCGATCTTTAAAGACAAAAATAAAGTACAATGGCTAAGGGGGCTTTGATAAGGACCTATGTATAAAGCCTTGCCTGCAATCCCAGCTTCATGGGAAGCTGTGGCAGGAAAATCAAAGCTTCTAGGCTGCACAATAAGTTCTGGCCAGCCTTGGGCACATAAACCCTGCCTCAAAAAAAAAAAAACAGAAGCAGGCCGGGCAGAGGTGGCACATGCCTTTAATCCCAGCATTCGGGAGGCAGAGGCAGGAGGATCTCTGTGAGTTCAAAGACAGCCTAGGCTATACAAAAAAATCCTGTCTCAAAAAACAAAACAAAACAAAGCCAACAAAAAACAAAAGCAAAAAGAGTTTATTAGTGTTCCTCTTCTCTGATTATAAAATTGAGGGGTTAGAAAGCAAGAGCTGCATGCTACTGGTGGTCTGCTCCAACCACACTTGCCCTACTCATCTATCAGACTAATTTGGTGAAACAAAGCAAACTAGGCACATACAACTGAAAGCTCTATTTGTACATAGAATCTCAGCTGTTTATACACTGTAATCCTGCAAAAGCATTTCATAGTTTTACTGTAAGTCATTTACACAAGAGAAATAGTATCTAATAATGTTTTCTGTATGTGTGCATGTGCCAACCCATAGAGGACCGAGGACAGCTTGAGGTGATGTTCCACCTCAGGTGTCTAGTTTGATTATTTTTTTTTCCATTTATGTGCATCTGTCTGTGTTTGTTTAAGTTATGCTGCATGTGTTCCACGTCCAAGGAGACCTGGAAGCCTGCTGATTAGTTTGGCTAGCCAGTGAGACCCAGCACTTTCCTGACTCTGCCTTCCCAGTGCTCAACGACAAGCACTCACTACCACGCCTGACTTTTCCACATATGTTCTGGGGATCAGATTTACTGTGTGTCAAAGGAGCTAGCTCCTCAACCCCACGATCTAATAAATGACCAGACTTATGCAACTTTCAAACCTTATCAATACAGAAGGCATTTGCCATAATTTCCTACAGTTTTATTGTACTCCTAGGCTGGAACTCAGAGAAAGAAGCCCTTTATGTCAGCAAGACTGCAGAGCGCACAGCAAGTTGCTTTCCAGGTACAGAGCAGAGAATGACTGACTGACTAATCAACAACTTACTTCTCACCGCTTACCTCCCATGATGGATTGGCAGGTGTTTGCGATGAATCCCATGACTCCCTTCCACAAAAGCATTTGGAGGTTTATGGTACACGGAGGCCAAAGAACCAATGTGGCAGATGAGCTCATCCAGGAGGGTAGGCTCAATGAGGTCTGTCTCTTCAGAGATCAACGGCTTCTCAGACAACACTACTTCTTTGGCTGTCACAGGGTCAGTTGAAAGAAGGCGCCAATAAATATAACCCCGATCTCGAAGGTCAGGGTTATCAGAATCCTAAAGCAAGCAAAGGCAAGGAGATTTAGATGGATCTGTGTCCACAGCACCAAAGTGCCAGGTTACTGTCAAGGTGCTGCTGTAGTGACTTACGCACATTAGCTATTAAAATGATACTTTACTTGGATTTAATAAGAGTTTATAGTTACAATTGTATATGCTAATGTTTCAAGGAACTTTAACATATACTGAGATGGGTTCATGCTCAAACTCAAATTCAAAGGCAAGCTGAGAAGAAAGAAGCCACTTTAATCCAGCAATAGTTAAATGGCCTTGGAAAGTAAGAATAGTATTTTGAATTATCATATTAGGTCTGGCGAGATAGCTCAGTGGGTAAAGGCACACGCTGCTAAGCCTTGTGAGCTGAGCTCAACCTCTGGGACCTATATGGTAGGAGGAACGAGGACTGACTCCCCACAAGCTGTCCACTGACTTCTACAAGCACAGTGTGACAAGTGTGTGCACATGCTTTCTCTGTTCCCTCCCTCCCTCCCTCCCTCCCTCCCTGCCCCCCCCTCTCTCTCACACACACAAACACACACACACACACACACACACACACACACACACACACACACACATAAATAAAAAAATGTGTCAGCCTTTAAAAAAGGATTTTTTATTTTACCTGTACCAGTGTTCTGCCTGCATATATGTAAATACACTATGTGCAGGCAATACCCACAGAAGACAGAGGAGGGAGGGTGTCAGAGCCCCTAGAACTAGAATTACAGATGGCTATAAGCAGCCACGCTGGTGCTGGGCAACGAAGATGGGTCCTTTGCAAGAGTAGTAAGTACTGTTAACCACTGTGTCATCTCTCTAGCTCTCATGTGTCAGCTTAAACAAAACCAAAACCAAAACTGTTATATAAGCCATATGTGGAGGCACACACCTATAACTCCAGTACTCAGGACGTTGAGGCAGGAGGATTGCATGAATTTGAAGGCAGCCTGGGGTGTGCACTGAGAACTAGGCCAGTTGGGGCTACATAGCAAGACCCCATCTCTAAATTAATTAATAAATATTAATAAATATGTGCTGTGGAATAATCCTTCAGCACACTGTGTGAATATATGTCGCTATGATTGGTTTAATAAACAAGCTGACTGGCCAATAGTTGAACAAGATAAAGTTAGGCAGGAAAGCCAAACTGAGAATGATGGGATGAGGAAGGGCAATCAGTCACTAGCTGGATGGAAAACAAGTCGGACACATAAAATGGGATAGAGGTAAAAACCACGAGCCTCATTGAAGCACATAGATTAACAGAAATGGGGTTAAGTTGTAAGAGCTAGTTAGTAGCAAGCCTGAGCTATTGGCTGAGCATTTGAAATTAGTATTAAGCCTCTGAGGATTATGAGAGCGGCTACAGAACAGGAAAACTCCGCCTACAAATAGGGCCATAAATATTAGCAGGAATATTCCTAACATATATTCTACCTTACATCTGTTTTCCTCATATGCTCCTTTAATTTTTTTATTTTTATTTATGAGTATATACGTGTACTTGTTTATATATGTACTACATGTGTGCAGGGCTTGTGGAGAACAGAGGTGGTTATCAGATCCCCTGGAACTGGAGTTACAGACATCGTGAGCCACCATGTGGATGCTGGGAATTGAACCCAGTTCCTTTGCAAGAGCAGCAAGTGCTCTTAACCGCTGAGCCAACTCTCCAGCCCTATAATTTCCTTCTTGATTCAAATATCTATATGCATCTCCTATGGAGACACTGGCTAAGTCACAGTAATAAAAAGACACTACATACAATTCCTGACTAAAGATCTCATAAAGGAACCATTAACTGAAAAAAAAAGAACCCAAAACAAAAACAACAACACCCCACACAACCCAACAACAAACCATTAAAGAACATATAAATGTATGTGCTTTCAAAAGGAGCAACACTTGAATTTAGTGCTCCTCTTGTTGTGGTTTTAAAATAATTTTATGCATGTTCACGCCTTAAAAATAACTATACCCTGCTGAGCTTAGTGGCACATGCCTTTAATTCCAGCACCTGGGAGGCAGAGAAGGCAATTCCCTAAGTTCAAGGTCTACATAGTGAGACCTTGTCATGGAAAGAAAAACAAAAACTAACAAATTGTAATCACGCCACACCAAGATTTACAAGGGTATAAAATAAAAAAGAAACCTCTCACAATTATCCAATCCCCTCCCACTTTCAACTCTCCACCTCCAATAACCATGACTAGCAAGCTGTTTGTGTGTCTGTCTTAACAGAACACACATGCTTTTGGCATAGGAAGCAGTTTTATCTTATACACACTGCTCCATAAGCTACTTTCATACATATTCATACACATAATAAAAATTAAAATAAAATTTTAAAATATTTCCAAGAGCACTTACAAATGAATTTTTAAGATATAAAATTAGTAATAGGAAAGTGACAGCTCAAAACTAGGCAAAGTAATATAGAAGAGATTGAAATTTTGATAATAGAAGAAACAGGTGATAGACAGGAAAACAGTTAATATATGAATCGGACTCAATGTGCAGATACACATCTTAACTGACAATTGTGTTAAAGCCGGCCTGTTCTCATGTTCAATTAAAGACATGACTAAGTCTGATGGACTGGTGATCATCATATTAGCTCCATTACAATAAAGAAATTATTTTGATTTTTATGGATCTGAAATGGTGACCTAATTTTCTTTTCCACTGCTGAAATTTGAACGTAGGGCCCTGTGCATGCTAGGCAAGTGCTATATGACTGGGCTATGTCCCCAGCACTTTTAACGATTTTTTTTTTCAAAGATTGATTGATTGATTATACACACAGCATGTATGACTGACTGCAGGCCAGAAGAGGGCACCAGATCCCTTTACAGATGGTTGTGAGCCACCATGTGGTTGCTGGGAACTGAACTCAGGACCTCTGGAAAAGCAGTCAGTGCTCTTAACCTCTGAGCCATCTCTCCAGCCCAACGATTTTTAAAACTTATTTTGAGACAGAGTCTCACTAAGTTTTCCAGATAGACATTGAACGTTTTATCCTCCTGACTCAGCCTCCCCAGTAGCTGGGATTACAGGCCTGTGCCATCAGGTCTGGCTATGACCTGGTCTATAAGGCCAATGGCCACATTCCCAAATTAGATTCCACTTGAATGTCTTTTCTTCTGACCAGAACTATCTTACATGGTGGTTAGGGCTAATGGTTAACTTGACAGAATACATAATTACCTGAGAGATGGGTCTCTGGGCATGCTGGGGAGGGAAGGTGTAGTATCTTCATTAAGATCATTGATATATATAAAAGACCCACTCTAATTGTGGGTGGGGGTCCTGGTGATATAGACGGAGAAAGGGAACTGAGCAGCACACATGCATGCAGTTCTCTGTTCCCCACTACAGATACAATGTCACCAGCTCCCCTATATTCCTATTCCTGTGACTTTCAGTCATGCTGGACTGTAATGTGGACTGTGAGCCAGAATAAATCCTTTCTCCCTTACGTCGAATGTCAGAGTATTTTTGTTTGTTTGTTGTTGTTGTTGTTTGAGATAGGGTTTCTCTGTGTAGCCCTGGCTGTCCTGGAACTTACTCTGTAGACCAGGCTGGCCTCGAACTCACAGAGATCCACTTGCTTCTGCCTCCCGAATGCTGGGATTAAAGGCATGCAACACCAGGAAAAGCATTATATAATTCAAGTATCAAAACATCTAAGGAAACAGCAAAGCACTTTAAATTATCTCTGAGAGAAAGGCACCTCTCTGAGAGGAGATAAAGCACATAGCATTTCATATGAAAGCTGAAGTCACCTAGAGGACATCAGACTCAATGTTATTTTCACATATGTAGGTTTATTATCAACAAGATAAAATCCAAATAAATTTTTTCAAAATTATCAAGAAAACTAGAGTCAGTCAATTTAATTTTTTTAAAATTTATTTTATGTGTATATGTGTGTACCTGAATGTATGTATGTGCCTGCATAGATTAGAAGAGCTGTGGGATCCCATGGAGCAGGAGTTACAGTTGGTTGTAAACTACCATGTGGGACCAAAACCAGTTTCTCTGTGAGAACAACAAATGCTCTTAAGTGCTGAACCATTTCTGTAGCCTCAGTCAGTTGAACTACAAGCTGCATTAGTCAGATATAATTTAGCAGAATTTGTTAAGAGGCAGAATTTTAATATTTTCAGAATTAAAACCTGCCCCAAATGAACCTTCTTGGGAAGTTTCCTGGCTAGTTTCATTTCAACTTGACACAAGCTAGAGGCATCTAAGAGGGAAGCTCAATTAAAAAAATACCTTCCTGTGCCAGGCAGTGGTGACGCACACCGTTAATCCCAGCACTCCGGAGGCAGAGGCAGGCAGATCTCTGTGAGTTTAAGTCCAGCCTGGTATACAGAGTGAGCTCCAAGACAGACATGGCTACACAGAGAAACCCTGTCCTGAAAGACCAAAATACACAAACAAACAAACAAATAAAAAAAATGCCTTCACAAGATCAGGCTGTAGGCAAGCACATAGGGTATTTTCTTAACTAGTGATAGATGGGGAAGGACCCAACCTATTGTAGAAGAGGTCAACCCTGGGTCATATAAGAAGGGAGGCTGAGCAAGCCATAAAGAACCAGCAAATCTGTAAGCAGTACCCCTCTATGGGCTCTGCATCAGCTCCTGTCTCCAGGTTCCTGCCAAGTTTGGGTTCCTGCCTTGGCTTCCCTCACTGGACTGTGATTCATGATGTGTGAGCCAAATAAAGCCTTTCTTCCCCAAGTTCTCTTCCTTGTGGAGTTCAACACAGCAAAAGCAGCCTTGAACAGGACAAGAAGTGCCATCAATTCTCACCATCTGAAGCAGCACAAATCAGCCCTCCAGAAGCTCTCAGATCTCTCACCTGTGTGGCCAAGCTCAAGACCTGTTGGACCAGCTCCTGTGTTTCTGATGGCTTCTTGAGAAACAGCTTCACTATGGCGGTAAGCAGCGTGAGCTGCACCTAAAAAACAAAATTCAACATAGTAAATGAGACGCAGCTTCTCGTTTCCTCAGCTATGAATTACTGTTGTTATTAAGAGATGAAAGGTCAGTCAATGGAATAAACAGCAGTCAAAGGTGATCTCTGAAATAATCAACCGAACATTCACTAGCCTCTTATTTTCCAGGTGCAGTTTTGTATCAGTAATGGCTTGTCTCTGGGCCAGATTCTCAATTGTTTTCTTTCTTTTCAATAAAAATTATTATTGTGTGTACATGATGTGTATAAGTACATGTGGTACAGTCCACATGGAGAGGTCAAGGACAATTCTGTAGAGTCAGTTCTCTCTGTCCACCTTTACACAGGTTCCAGGGATCAAACTCAGGTCTCCAGGCTTGTGTAGCAATCACCTTTACCCTCTGGGCCAGCCCTCAACTGTATTTATAAAGTAATAAAACCGGCTCTTGATCAAATTGTGTATTATTTACTTTGGCCAAAGCTTACAAGCTTGAAAGACTTATGAAATCACTTGTCACACTGGGATAAGAGCCAAAACAGAATTATGTCAGATTAGAGCCAATTAGAGGGAGCCTGCTGTGCTACTATTAATATTAAACCTATTAAAATTACTATATTGAATTACATACACAAACTTCTATTTGCTATGAGCACAAATGCCAGAGAGAAAGGGCTTAATAATCTGGCTGCTTCTCTGGGCCTTTGACTCTAATTTTATAGGAGAGGGACAGATGGGGAGAAATCTAATCATCCACAGAGAATCTTTCCAAGCCTCGCCAAGTTGTACTGTAATGAGCAACAGCAAATGCTAAGGACAATATGTAATCATCTTTAAGTGACAGAAAATAAAAATCTGATTACTGCTCTAAACCACCTCAGGGAAGCTCACTTCTGAAGCAGCACCTGCAGCAAGAAAGAAATCAGACTACATAGGTCCTTCTCACTCTCTGAGGGCTGAGGCCCAGCAACCTATGTTTCAAAAAGCCCCCAAATGTTCCAATACGCATTAGTCTATGGACCACTGGCCTAAGCTCTGCAGCTCTGTTACTCTAGAAAGCAGGACTCATCAAAAGGGTCATCCCCTGAGAAAGAAAAACCATGACATATAAATGCACACAAGAAACGAGCCAATGTTTTCCATTCTCGATTATCTTCCTGAAGAGATGTAGGACACAGGATAGAAGAGAACTTACCTGGGTACTTTCATCATGAAAGCCCTCCAGGAAGCTCTCTAGTAATTCATCCGCATTATCGATTCTTTCGGCATATTCTCCTACAATCCAAATCATAGCTGCTCGAGCATCGGGCTCATCCAGGGAGTCCAAGTTCTCACAGAGAGTGGCAATGATACTTTCATACCTGTTACAACAAATGGACTACAGTTACTAAAGATAAAACTAAGAACTGTATTTAACAGTGGGAACTAGAGGCATACACCAGGAACTCCAAGCCAAATCAGCAAACTACAAAGGATTTTAGTTAACAGAATGTAGTAAGTCAGAAATTTATGGCTTAAATTTTTCTTCAAATATGCTTTAAACATATCTTTTAGATTTACTTTATTATTTTGTGTATATGAGTAGCTTGCATGTATGTATGTGTACCACATGCAGGCCTGGTACCCGCAGAGGTCAGAAGAGGACACTGGATCCCGTGGGAGTGGGCTTACAGACGACTGTGAGCCACCATTCTTCAATTATGTTTTCTTTTTTCTTTCCCTCCCTCCCCCCTTCCTTCCTTCCTTCTCTCCCTTCTTCTTTCCTTCCTTTAAAGACAGGGTCTCCCCCAAATAGTCCTGGCTGTCTTGTAATTCACTATGTAGATCAGACTGGCCTTGAACTCATAGAAATCCACTTGTCTCTGCCTCCTGAGGGTTGGTACTAAGGGCATACATAAGCTACCATGCCAAGCTGAATTACGTTTCAATAACTAAGCTTTAAACTTTCACAAGAGTTCCTGAGACAGAATTTCACACGGAAAAAATTAACCTGTAGGATAAAAGAACCCTGCTATCTTGTGTCTAAAAACAATCCTTCTTTAAGTACTCTAGAGAATTTTCCTAGTATGCATTTTGCCTTCATGGTAGAAAACATTTAGAAATCTCACTTTCTTTTAAGGAAGATGGAGTTAGAAAACAACAGGAAACTATAACCCTGTCTCCTATTACACTTGTCATTCTGTTTTCATGTGTGTGCGCATGCGCACACAGAGGTCAGAGGTGGATATGAAGTATTTCCTTGACAGTATGTTCTACTTCAATGGAGGCCAGGTCTCTTTCTGAAACCAGAGCTCATCGATGGAGCTAGTCGAGCTACCAGCTTGCCCAGATAGCCCGTTTCCTGGCACTAGGTTTACAAGTGGGCCATCAGGGATGCTGGACTTTTTCTATGGCTGGCAGGGATAGGAACTCTGGTCCTCATGCTTGTGCAGCCAGGGATTTAACTGAGCAATCTCCCAAGAACCATCTACTTTTTGTAAAAGAAATCTTCATGTTCTAGTGCACATATTCCAATGACCTGATTCTATGAAGAAATTCAATAGGTTATTTTAAGTCTTACAGATCTATGGCCTTCTCGTGTTCACCATGTTGAATCTATCTTCTTCATTAATGTAATTTTAAAAATGTTTTTTATTACTGAGGACTGAACCTAGGATCGAGCACATGCTAGGCAAACTCTTTCTCAATGAGCTGTATCCCCAGCCTTTTATCTCCTCCATGGTTTAAAATCGGACCTTGCTGAGCTGCTGCAGCTGACTTGAACTTGTGCTTGTCCTTGCCTTAGCCTCCTGAGTAGCTGAGACTGTAGGTCTAGGCCACCAGGTCAAGCTGGTTAATGTAATTTTAAACATCAGAATGAGATAGACTAAATTAATGTGGATAACTAGGATACTAGGTCAAGTATCTGCCCTATTCCTACTTACTAAACCAGGGTTTTGACTGATTTCTTAAAATTAAACTGTCATAACCCCTTATTTACACAAGTATTACATATAACTCTGTTGATCATATTGAGATACACACTTTTGTTTTAACCTATATAACAAAACAATTTAGAAACCTGACCCTCCATTCTTTTGGGAATTCAGTAAAAGCCTTCTTTTGGTGGTCCTCTTTCTAAAAATAACACTTCTCAAAACAAAACAAAACAAAAAAACCACACACACATGAATTCTGACCTGCCTGTCTTCAGAACCAAAGTATTTGTTTTATTATTTTTGTTTTATAAACTAAGAACCCTCAGTCTGGAAATTTTATGATGTGAAAATACAGACACTGAGTATCTGTGTGGAGGAACTACACTTCCTTAAGAGGACAGAGGTGGGCAATTCATTGCAATAAATTCTGTCATTTCCCACAAAATAGCAGGTCCCATGCAAAGTAAACAGCATGGCTGTTATTGGCCTGCTTTTGTGAAAGAGCGGCCACATGATTCGTATATGTTAAGACCCTTCTGAGAGGATAAAGTACATAATCATTTGTCTAGCATAAAGTAAGAGTGTGTCCAGACAGCAGGAAATATATAGGTTTCCTGTTTAATGGTAACTGCCAAAAGACAGTATATACTCAAGCAGAGCTCCATTTTTACAAAAATAATAAAGCAGATGGGTACGGTGGCTCATGCCTGCAATCCCAGCACATAGGGCCAACTTCAAACCCCATCTCTAAACAAGAAGTTTAGTCTCTGTTGGCTACCCACTTATGTATCTCTGACTTTTAATAAAGTATCTATTATGACCAGTTATATTAAGAGCAATAATTCTTACCTAGTCAATTTCAAAGTGCCTTAGTTAAACATTTCCCAAATAATTTGAGAAAGAAGATTACAAGAACTTTGACATACTTGTTGGGGTATTTGCGGAAGATGTCCCTGATGACAACAATTGCCTCTTGGACCACATAATTCACTTTGGTCTGGATTAGATCAAGCAATGTGCTTACACAGCGTTCTGCTGATTGCTAGGGAGAAAAACATCAAAACATAAGTCAGGTAATCTATCCAATAACACTATCTCAACACAAAAAAGGAAAAAAAAAAAGGAAATATACAGGTACATTCACTAAATTAAACAGGCACTGAATTTGCTAAAGCTATACTAGAGGCTAGATCATCTGTTGTATATCAATATTAGAAATTCTAGGAATATACCAGCTTTTATTCATTAGAAAACAAATTGAAACATATTTTGGCTTTGTGTGTTTTGCTAAGAGTAAACCTAGGACCTCACACAAGCTAGTCAAGAGCTCTACCACTGAGGTATACCTCTATCTCCCAGATAATTCAGTTAAGTGAGTAAACATTATCCTGGATAACTGGAAGAACAGAAATAAAAAAAAAAAATAGCCAGGGTACAAGGAAAGAAAGGCAATTAAAGAATACACCTAAGTTGGAGGTCCTTGACTAGAACTCTTTGGAGACTGCATGGGCCTTTTTGATGCTTTAAAAAGACTTCTTCACTGTTCTCCCCCAACCCCCCACCCCACCCCCACATTTGTGTGTTATGGAATATTTGTTTAGCTAGGCAAAGATGTGTTACATTTGTTTATGCTGCATTTGTTTAACTATATGAAGATGTGTTGCTTTTGCGTTATTTAAATAAAATCAACCTGGGCTCAGAGAGGTGGGGTTAGCAACTAATTGACAAGAAGTCACAGGGAGGAGCTTAGTGTAGGTGGTTTTCGTAAAGTGGGGGCGGTGTGGAAAGAGGGAGGCTTCTGTGGACACCAGCAAAGAGAGAAAGTTAGCCAATTGCTACTCTGACTCTCTGAGCTCACAGGTCTTCACCCTAACCTTTGCATCTTGAGTTTTATTAGAACCATAGAGATTTAGTTAAAGCTGCCTTTAGTTAAAACCTCCTTTAATGGCAGCAAAAGAGCCACTGTCTGAGGAAACAGAATTACCCCCAGGCTATGGCCTGAGCAGCCACCGTGAGGAAGATAAACCAGCATTTGTGCACACATACACACAGTGGTGCTCATGAAGAGCCCTGGAAGCTGGAGTTACAGGAGCCTGTGAGCTGCCTGACGTGGGTGCTGAAATCTGAAACGCGGTTCTCACGACAGATCAGAAAACTCTCTTAACCACTGAGTCAGCCCTCTCATCATCTGCACGGGTGTTTTTAAACCTCCTAAAAGGAATCGTCAAATTTTGTATGGACTTACAAAATATTTTACAAATATAAGGTCCATAGCTTTCATTTTCTTTTCAGTTATCTATGGCTCAAAAAACCCTAGAATAGAGATTAATCTATTAATCTTTTACTAATTGAATATGGAATACAAACTGATACTGACACTATGATAGATTGGTTTTTCTTTTAGGACAAGATTGTGAGAAAAATCCCCAAATCCAAGGGTAAGTCTATCATTGTACTATCACAGGTCACTAAATCATGTGCCTCCTGTTAGGATTCAAAAAGTACACAGCGTTACCTAAAACTCATGAGTATCACCATGCCTCCAGATTTAGTCATGTAAAGGGGATGGAGGTATGAGATAAGTGGAACCATTAAGATACAGTCCAGTCTCTGGGAAAGTCTATAAGTCTAGTCAGCAATCAGTATGTGGTATTAGGGCCAGCAGGATGGATCATCAGATAAAGGCACTTGCCACCAGGTCTACTGACCTGTTTGATCCCTAGGCGCCTTATGGTGAAAAGAAAGAACCAACTCCTACAAGTTGTCCTCTGACCTTCACATACATACCCTGGCACATGCTGTCTCCTCAAACAATATATATATATAAATGTAAAAAATAAATAGGTAGTATCAAAATAAGTTAAAACCAAAACAAAGTACAACACCTAAGGACACATATTACCAAAAGCAATGTATGGAAAGAACACAAAATTAAAGCCAGGCATAGTGGCTCATGCTTGGAATCCTACGCTTGGGAGACTGAGGGAGAGGGAATGTAAGTTTGGAGCTAGCCTGGGCTGCACAGTAAGACCCTGTCTTAAGTAAAACTAACAAGACCCCCAAATGCTTGGGGGAGGAGTGGGGTATGCTGAAAAGATAAAAATCTGTAACTAATAAACCAATAGATAATAAAATTATTTATAGATATGGATGTAGCAAAAGAAAAACCAACATAAAAGAGAGTTGAAAGTGATACTTTTTGGAAAGTAGGGCTAAGTAAAGAAGGAAAAGAACCAGGGCAGTGGCTTTTCATTAAAAATTCTTTAATCTGCCGGGCGGTGGTGGCGCACGCCTTTAATCCCAGCACTCGGGAGGCAGAGCCAGGCGGATCTCTGTGAGTTCGAGGCCAGCCTGGTCTCCATAGCGAGTTCCAGGAAAGGCGCAAAGCTACACAGAGAAACCCTGTCTCGAAAAACCAAAAAAAAAAAAAAAAAAAAAAAAAAAAAAAAAAAAAAAAAAATTCTTTAATCTGGGGCTGAGAAGGCTCAGGGGTTAAGAGCAAAAAATGGCTGCTCGTCCAGAGAACCTGGGTTAGATTCCCAGCACCCACATGGTGGCTCATGACTTAGGGGGTCCCATCCCTCTTGTGGCTAATAGTGGTACTTAGCATACACAGTGTACACAGACATAATGCAGACACAACACCCATAAATATTAAATTATTTAGTTCATTAAGTATATGCTTTATTATTTTGATAAACTGCAATTATACATATTCTAAAGTAATGAACACTTGGAACCCCATACCGTGTGATCTCCTCCTCTGAAGCCTTACCTCCACTTTGATGGCACACCGGCCAATGGCCCTCACGGCTTTGCGAACAAAGTCCACGTCGACCTCAGTGGCATATTCCTTTAGCTCTGCCAGGACCTGTCAAATATCCAACAAGTGGATACCATTTAAAGATTCTCAAACAGCAGTTTCATGCCTTCTGAATACCAGATCTTAAGCTCTAAGCCAGCATAAATTTGAGACAGCTTAAGGTCTGACCTGAGCAATGTTGGCTTGGGATGCAAGACGAATCATGATGTCCAATTTCTCTAGTTTAACATAGATAGGATCATTGTACTTCACAAAGAAGACTTTGATTTCCTGCTTCAAGATTTCAGGCCTGTGATAGACAAAAACACAAGAAAGGAAGATGACCAAACATATTTACTGACATGTCCTGCTCAGCCTTTCTGCCTGTCCCCTTGAGGGGAAGAAAACTCCTTACAAGTGTCCTGTATCAGCCTCTAGTGTTGTGGAATATTATTTTAAGATGTGTTACATTTGTTTATGCTGTGATATTTCTTTCTTTCTTTTTTTCTTTTTTTTTTTTTTCGAGACAGGGTTTCTCTGTGTAGCTTTGCGCCTTTCTTGGAACTCACTTGGTAGCCCATGCTGGCCTTGAACTCACAGATATCTGCCTGGCTCTGCCTCCCGAGTGCTGGGATTAAAGGCGTGCGCCACCACCGCCCGGCGTGATATTTCTTTTAATGATGGAAGATGTGTTGCATTCTTTTATGTTGCATTTGTTTAACTTTGTGAAGCTATTTTACTTTGCCTGTCTAAATACCTGATTGGTCTACTAAAGAGCTGAATGGCCAATAACCAAGTAGGAGAAAGGATAGGTGGAGCTGGTAGGCAGAGAGAATAAACAGAAGGAGAAGCCAGCCACCCAGCTACACAGCCAGCCACAGAGTAAGAGGTAAAGAAAGGTATACAGAGTAGAAAAACATAAAAGCCTAGAGGCAAAAGGTAGCTGGATTAATTTAAGAAAAGCTGGCTAGAAATAAGCCAAGCTAAGGTCAGGCATTTATAAAAAGAAAATAAGACTGTGTGTGTATTTGTTTATTTGGGAGCTGGATAGTGGACCCCCCAAAAGAGTAAAGAGCCCAAGAGCTAAGAGTAAAAAAACAACCAACACTCTATTGTCCTCCCCACCCCATATAGTAGTTGCGCTACTATGTAACATTTTTACTTCCACACAGTAAAGCTGGGTGTCAAGCTCAGTGCCTAGCACATTCTAGGCAAGCATTCTACCACAAAGCTACACTCCTAGCCCATCTATTCTCTATCAATTCCTTTTGACATCTGATTTGTGTCCTTTTAAAGTATGAGGGGTTATGTATTACCACACAGAACTGCTAAGGAAGAACAACTTGGTTCTCAACTATAACCTTCCTGGGTAGCATGTCCAAAAGAAACACTTAAGAAAGCGACCTGGCTGGGTGTGGTGGCACACACCTTTACTCCCAGCACTTGGGATGCAGAGGCAGGTGGACTTCTATGAGTTCGAGGCCAGACTGGTTTACATAGTGAGAGAGTGTTTCCAAAAATCAAAAAATAAACAAAAACAACTTAACAACCCCAAACTACAACACCAGATAATTACTACTGAGAGAATGGTAATAACTAAGTTGCTATTCCGGGGGAAGTTGTGCTACTATATAACAATTTTACTTCCACACAGTAAAGAACAAAAGAGATCAGCATCAGTCTATGGAGCATTTATATTAAGCTTAATTCAAGATCACAAACATTTTAAAATCACCAAATTACTATTTCCCCACCTTTTCTGGACAATTAGATTGATGTTCCTCAGGGCGACATACTGCACTTCTGGCTCCCCAGATAGCAGAGTGACCAGTGGAGGTGCTAACTTCTTCAGCAGCATATTGTAGTAGTCAGAGTCCTTGGGTAACAGTTCTAGGAACTTCATTAGAACTTTAACTGCTGAAAGCACCACTGCAGAGTTGGCATGGGATAGCCGAGGAGTTACTCGCTCACAGATGCTGGGGACAGAAAGGGAAATTGAGTATCTTGGATTATGGTACCTTTGCTCAATAAAGTAATGCTTCAGAGTTCCATGGCCCAAGTATCAAGAAATCAAAGATTCAGCTAGAAAAGTCAAAGCTCCATGCTTAGGCTAACACCGCAGAAGCTTCGTGCCCAGCAGGCTACAGGCAGAGCAGGGGCGTCAGAAGACTTTAGAAGGCAGCAACTATCCAAACTGGATATCCAAACTGGAAGGGAACTAGCAATCCCCCAGACACTGGCACTCACGCCAGTTACCTTCTTGATTTTAGTCCTGTCTCTCCACATAATGTTAGGGCTCCCTGCCTCACAGCTCATCTCTACTCAACCTACAGGAAGTCAAACCAAGCATCCTGAAAATTAATTCATTGTGAGAGGTGTTATCCACCTGTGACTTAAAGAGGAAGTGGACTGGCAGGTGAAACTACACAGCCTCTTGCTTTCAAGCTAGTAAGAAAAACTCGGAAACAGATGATATTTTTGTTTTGTTTGGGTTTGGTTTTTAATATTAGAATATTATTACAATGTTCTCCCGACTTCTTCTAGCCCTACTACCTATGCTTAGATGCCTCATAGAATCTTGATATTCACACTTGCAGTGGTCTCTGAAATCAACCTAACTTGCTAGCTCTTGGGCAACAAACATCATGAGTGACTGTTTACAATGGTTTTTTGTTTTTTTGGTTTTTTTCCTAGACAGGGTTTCTCTGTGTAACAGCCCTGGATGTCCTGGAACTCACTTTGTAGACTAGGCTGGCCTCAAACTCACAGAGATCCTCCTGCCTCTGTCTCCCAAGAGCTGGGATTAAAGGCATGCGCCACCACGCCTGGCATGACTGTTTACAATGTTAAAGAGACAAGATAAGTGGCTGCTTACTCTTGTCTATGTCCACGTGGCTGACTCTTGACCTCCTCCAGGCCTTTAAAAAACGAAGTCCACCCTCTCACACAGACCTTCGTGATTACTCTTTTTAAAAAGTCTAATTCCAAACAGTAAAATACAAAAATAAAATCCTGCTGGGTGTGGTGTACACAGCTTTAATTCCAGCTCTTGGGAAGCAGTGGCAGATGAATCTCTGAGTTAGAGGCCATGGTTTATATGGTAAGTTCAAGTCTAGCCAGGGTTACATTTCAAGATCCTGTCTCAAAGAACAAATAAACAAACAAAACAAATACTGAGGCAGGAGGATCACAAGTTTGCAGCCAGCTCAGGCTATACGCATAGTCCCTGACTCAAAACAAACAATAATGATAGAGATGGGGGGCATTCTCGTCATGGTCTCTTTCTCTACAACATCTGCCATTTCTTAGATCCCTATATTACCTCCGCTAGCCATCATGAAATATGATCTATCATATATTTTACTGAATATCCATATTATATAAACTCCTATCCCCACTCCTCAGAATGAATGGTGCATGAGGACCATGATTTTTGTCTGTTCACTGTGGAATCCTCACAGCCTAGAACAGAACCTAGCACACAGCATGGGCTTAAGTATTTGCTAGGTGAATTAATGAGTGTAATGTCAATGGCCAACAGAAAATAAAATTCTTGGTAAAGTTCTCTCCAGAATATAATTGTACTTTCAATGATGACAAGAAACTACCAGCAGTATTAGTTAAGTCCAGAGGGAATCATTTCCCAGACAAGTGAAGAGAACTTACATTCTAGTAGCTTGGAAATCAGCTTCAGCCAGCAAGGAAGGTTCTTATCTACCATAATTAAAATATGTCAACTTTAATGAAGAGCCAGCAATTCTTCAGAAGTATTTTGCCTAGTCAAGTGCTTACATATATATACAACGTGCTCAATTTAAAAATGGGTAGTAACTCCAACTTTGTAACTGAAATGTACTTATGTACAGATGTGTTGATGACATTCAGTACTAAAGTTCTGACAGTCAAAGAAAACCTAAACATGGAAGTGGTAAAGGGCTGACTGGAACAATCAAGATATTCTCAAAAGCTCCAAATGTAGTCTAACATGATTTCTAGGTACAATGGCAAGACACATACGTGTTGCTGACTTAAAAATACCTAACCTAATACTAAATTACAGGTATTGTTCAGCTCAATAACTAGTATGAAGAATCTAACAGAATAGACAGTATGTCATTACAAGGACAGACATAACTTTTGTTTACCAGGAATCGGGAGATAGGTGATAAAATGAAGGAGGTTTTGGCAGAAGTATGAAACAACTACATTCTTTTTGGTGCGGTTTAGCACTTACAGTGTCCCTAAATCCAGTGAGAAAATATGCTGGGGATAGCAATGTCCCCCTAAACCCTCTGCCTTCCTCAGTCTGATAGCCTCTTTATACTAAGAGCAGACATTAAACATTATTCAGTAAGGTAAGACCATCAGCTAATGTCCAGTAAGACAGACTGACCTCTGAGCTTCTCGGTCATCTTTAGGGTTGTAATTAGACAGGCAGTCCAGGATGAAAATCTGGCCCCATTCTGTGCACTCATTCAGGGCTGTGAGCAGCTTATTGATATTCTGAGGGTTCAGATCAAGTAAATTGCTGTTTGGGTGAGATTCACTGATCTCAGACAATGCTGCTACAGCATTAGCCACCACCTGCAAAAGAAACAGATAATGACTTTGATATACTCAGAAAACCAAAACTATGACACGCAAACAACCTTGGTAGGATCCCTTCACAGCTCTCAATTCACTCCTAAACATTTTACCCAGTTAGACAGAATAGATGTTACCCAAAATAGACAGAAATAGATGAACTGCTTTTAAACCATGCATTAAGCCACCAATGACAGCATATACAGCTTCTGAGTAGTCAGGCACTCCAGAATTAAAGTAATTCATATGTTAGTAGAGTCACAGATGACTCACTACTGAAACCTTAACCACTGCAGCACACCCAAAACTGTCGCTAAAATCAAGACAGAACAACAGCTGTGAAAAAACGAAGCTAAACCAGTGGTGGCTCATACCTGTAATCCCAGCACACGAGGGCTGAGGTAAAGAGGACACTTTCAAGTTTGGGGCTATCATGGGCTAGCTACAAAGTGAACTCCAGGCCAGCCTGGACTATAGAATGAGACCTCACAAAACAAAAAAGAAACATCTCAATAAATATTTGCATTATGTGACAGAGAAAAATCTAGGCCAAACTCTAAGTGCGTGTGGACAACAGGGAGGTGGCACTGTCAATTATTCAGTGTTATCACATACCTTATATTAAGAATAAGTAGACTTGAAACCAGAATTCGTTAGTATAATGCTAGGGGAACACATAATCTCTGCCTCATGCGGTTTGCTTATCTGAAAACCAGGGAAAATTGAATCTACCTCAGAGACTAATTTTAACTGGAGGGTACAAGTCCAATGATGGTATACATTAAGAAATATTTACGGAGCTGGAGAAGATGGCTCAGCAGCTGAGAGCACTGGCTGTTCTTCCAGAAGATCTGAGTTCAATTCCCAGAACCTACATGGCAGCTCACAACTGTCTGTAACTTCAGTTCCAGGGGACCTGACACCCTCGCAAAGGCATACATGCAGGCAAAACACCAGTGCACATAAAATAAAAATAATTTAAATCATTAAAACAACTGTTTCATGTTAGGCATGGTGGCTCATGCCTTTAATCACAGCACTTGGGGGACAGAGGCAGATGGATCTCTGAGTCTGAGGCCAGTCTAGTTTACTAAGCAAGTTTCAGGACAGTTAGGAATACACAAGAGAAACCTTGTCTCAAAAAACAAAAACAAAAATTTCATAAAGCCTTATGTAAATTTAAGGGAGTAACATTACCATAATTCATCAAGTAAAAATTGCAAAAATTTTTTCATTAATATCTCTAAAACTGGAGGGCATTTATAATCAATCATCACATTTTTTTTTTCGTGCATGGATGTTTTATCTGTTTGTACGTCTGTATACCATGTGTATGCCTGGTGCCCTTGAAGGCCAGAAAAGGTTGTTGGATCCCCTGGAACTAGAGTTACAGATGATTGTGAGGCACCATGTGGTTTATAAGAATTGAACTCAGATTCTCTGGAAGAGCAGCAACTGCTCTTAACTGCTAAGCTAACCTGCAGTCACCCATACTTTAGTGGAGAATGTTTTATATAAGGATACAGAAACTAATCATATAAATTATAGTTAATGAAATTGTAGATTCAATGAAATATGGTGTTTCAAATATATCCTCTTCTTTGAGATAGGAAGTGAAAAAACTGTTACCCTAGACAAGAAAGCACACTTGTACTTGATGCACTGATATGGGAATATGTGTAGCTACAAAACAAAGTCAGTATTTTAAATCAAAATTACAGATTATTTCTAATATAACTGACAAACAAATATTTAAAGTTATTTTAAAATTTCAAAACCACTCATAAACAAACACCACAATGGAAATACTACCCTGTGGCTCTACACAGGTGAGATTTAAAATACGTTTTACAGCAAAAGTTCAGATGCGAAGATTAGCATGGTCAGGCTGACCCTAAGTACTTTATAATTTAAATGAGATGCATCAAGAAGTCAGCTTCAACAATTATATACATCAAAAAAAATTCTCAAGGATGTTAATTCATAGTCAAGTCTTACTGAAGTCCCCTAACGAAAGCTTGAGAAACAGAGTTTTATAATTATGTTAGCAAGAGAGAAACACAATGGCTATAACTTAGCTGTCAGTTTTATTACCCACATTGCCTAGGTAATTGGCAGATTGTACTAATCATAAAAGTAAACAGGAAAGTGAATATCTAAGAAACAATGATTTAATACACAGTACAATGTAGCAATAGCCATCATTATATAGAGGATAAGGATGGCAGAAACAGAACTCTCTTTGGTGATCAGAACAAAAAGTCTCAGATGAAAAGAATCAAAGACTTACTTAGCAAATATAATTAGACATTTCATTGCCACAAAACAAAACCGACCTAATGTATCATCTATAATAACATACATGAGCTACTTTTCTCAAATGCTTTTGCTCACTACTAGAATGAAACAATTCCCTATAACCCCAGCATGGGAGGTAGAGGCAAGAGTATCAGTGGTTCAAGGTCATCTTCAGTTACTTAAGAAGTCTGAGGCTAGCCTGGGGTACATGAGACCCTGTCTGAAAACAAACAAACAAACAACACCCAAACAAACAAAAACAATAATCATTCCCAGGTACTTCACATATAGGAAAAAAATTTACTTCCCATGCATAGTAGGTATGATTGACCTTATTTTAGAATTAAAAAAAAAATTAAAATGTCCTATATCAACTGCTTATTTTGACTGCTCTGTCAACACATCCAACCTTGGCATCAGTTTTAAATGAACCTCCTACCATAATTACCCTTTCTGTCAATGCATCTCCTTCACCCCCACCGTGTGTGTGTGTGTGTGTGTGTGTGTGTGTGTGTGTGTGTGTGTGTGTTGTGTGTGTCTATCTGTCTATCCTGTGTGTCTGTGTGTCTGTGTGTGTTGTTTAAAGTTAAATAGAAGGTCTGGTAATAGAAAACGTAGAATAGAAAAGATGAGAACTGAAGAACTAAAAATAGATAGGGAGAGAATAGAAGGATACTAAACACAATAAGGAATTAGAATCCCCTTGTTACCATTACAGGCAATTAGAAATTAAAGCAAGTGTGTAATGCAGCTAATGAAGGGTAAGTGCTGATGCTCAAGTAGGCAATGTCTATTTACTATCATATTAAAACAAGAAAGGAAATACTGAAGGGTCGGCCTAATAAAAATATAAAGATCAGATCAGATCAGAGGACCATGGTGAACAGAGCCTGCGGGAAGGAAGAGGTGGTGGTCAAGCCACCACCAAAGTGACGGGGCAGATGAGATGCTCTCCCACCCTGCACCAGACTTCCTGTTCCTCTAAACTCCCTGAGGTTGCTGCTACCTCTCCACTGTCATCTTCCAGTCAATTCAAACTCCTGGGTTTCCAGAAATCACACGAGGCAGGCTCACGGTGGAATGCTTTACATTCTCCTGGTCAGTAAAGCGTGCTCCCCACACTGTGATGAACCTGAAGCCAGTCAGTCACACTGTATCTGAGGCAGATGAAGAGAAAGACTGAGTTCAAGTCGACAAGTGGGCAGCTGGTGTACACCAGACCTCTTTCTTGTCAATGCTTCTACAATCTGTATTTCTTTGAAATTTTGTACAATGCTGCCTGGTTTTCAAAAATAAAATTTAAAGATAGAGTGATAAGTTAGAATTCACTTCTTCCCAAAGAAGAATACACCACTGTAGGGACAGGGTGAAAAGTCCCCACGGAGCAAGCTCAGGCAGCAGTAAGCACCCTAGCGTCTCTCCAACAGTGAAACAAAGATGCACTTCCCTCAGTCACAACATCACTTTGAATCGCAACTATTAAGACAAGTCTCGTATTTCCTCCCTTATTATCATCTATCTTAGGAATGTTGCTATAATCTCAGAAAGATTAAGAGCATATAAGGGGAAAAAAGAGTTCTAAAGGAAGTTTTCTTTAAAAGTACATTTATAGCCACATGTGGCAGCATACATCTGTAATCCCAGCACTCAGGATTTGAAGGCAGGAGAATTAGGAATTCAGGGCCAGACTTAATTACATAAGCCCCTGGTTCAGAGGGAGGGGAAAGAATGTAATAATGGGGAGACCGAGCTTTCTAGACACACAAACTGCTTTCTAAAACATTGGCATCTAGGGCTGGAGACAGCTCAGTAGTTAATGGGCTGGTCTTCAGAGGACCCAGGTTAGATTTCCAGCACTCACACCGGTGCTCACAATCACACCTTCTTCTGGCCTACACATACACACACCTCACATGACATGAAAGTCGAAGACAGACTAACTGGGAAGAGGAAGGAGATAATGAGAGAGGGGTGAGATATAATGGGGCGCCTATGATCAAAATATATGATACACATGTACGAAAAGTAATTAATACAGGCCAATATAAACAAAATTTAGTCTAAATTTTATTTGAAAAGTTTTTAAAAATTTACTCTTTTGACAAGTTCATAACGCTTATAATGCATTCTTTAAAATTTTTCTTTTTAAGATCTTATACATATGAATGTTTTGCCAGCATGTATGTATATGCACCACACGACATGCATGCGTATTGCCCAAGAGGGTCAGAAGAGGGCATCAAACCCCCTGGATCAGATGTCACAGTGGTTGTGAGCCACCACAGGGATGCTGGGAATGGAACTCAGGTCCTCTTAGCCACTGAGTCATCTCCAGTCCTATACTACATTCTTGTCACACTCAGTACCCCATCCTCTTATCCCACTACCATGTCCTTTTGTGTTCTCTCTTAAAATATTCCTGAAAGTTTTTTTAAATAATTATCTGTCATTTATTGAGCATTATAATGTCTTTGTAGTTACAGAAAAAGCAACATCACTTTTAGAAATCCATAATGATCTCAAAAGTTTTTACAATAAGAATGTTGCCATTAAAAGAGCAGTCTTTCTAGAATTACTAAAACCCAGCACTGCAGCACAATAATATGTGTTCATCATTACTAAGGTTTATTCTACACTAAGCTCAGCATTAAATGTTTCTAAAGCTCACAACAGCTCTACGACACAGCACTTTGTCATTCCCA